CCTGGGGCGGGCCGGCGGAGGGGTTGGGGAGACCCTGGGGCGGGCCGGCGGAGGGGTGGAAGCTGGGAAGAGGGGCTGGGCGGGAGCTTGGGAGCCCCGCGGTGCAGGCGCCAGGGCTGTGCCGTTCACGGCTGGGAGCCGTGAGGGTCTCTGGGCTCTGCGGCTGTGAAGCACCCATGTGGGCGCCCTGGGGTTTCTGGCCACAGACAGGGTCAGAGGCAGAAAACACGGTTTAGGTTTCAGCACTGTGAGTCGCAGCTGTAGGTGTCGACATGTGAGTCGCAGCTGTAGGTGTAGACATGTGAGTGAAGACGGGCAGCAGGACCAGGGACTTCCAGGCTGCACCAACGGGGTTGGAGCTGCGCTGTGCTGGGGGCCCGAGGGGCGAGCGTGGGTCACGTGGGGCAGTGCTGCCAGCTGGGCCTTGGTCTGACCTTGCACTTGGCCTGTCTGGCCCGCCCCCACTCACCGGGACACTGCAGACAGCTCATGGAAAATCGACTTGAAACTGTTGATTTTCATGCAGAACTGTCCTGCGGCCCAGGCTTTTCATGAGAAGGTCGTCGGAGGCCCCTCACGTGCTTGGGCCTCTGACCTTGCTTCACCAGACGTGGCTTCAGCCCATTTTCTATGCGCTTTGTGAAGTACCTTGTACAGAAAGTCAAAGAAGACGGAATCTAAACCTGAGAAGGACGAGCAAAGGACCAGGACCTGGGCAGGCTCTGCCGGAGCCTGCAGGGGAGGGGCGGAGGGAGGCGGAGCCAGGGGGCAGGGGGCTGGGAGAGGGACCAGAGGCCACGTTGGGGAGAATTTGGGTGGGGTTTGAAGAGGTGGAGGCAGCGCGTTCCAGCAGCAAGTTACCTTAGAACTTTGTTAGCTGGAGGGGCACCGGGCTCGCTGGGTGTCACACAGTGCCACTGTCACCTTGGCCGTTTTCAGATCAGCCTTGATGTGGAAGCAGAGTCTTTATTTTTACATGCTTAAATTGCTCACATACAAGCACTTCTTCCTAAGAAAAATGTTTTATTTGATAGAGAGAGAGATCTTCTGTCCATTGGTTCACCCCCTGGCTACCTGCAGCAGCCCCAGGCTGGGCCAGACCAAAGCCAGGAGCTTCTCCCAGGTCTCCCACATGGGTGGCAGGGGCCCAAACACTTCTGCTGCTTTTCCCAGCCATCAGCAGGGAGCTGGATCCAAAGTGGAGCTGCTGGGACGTGAACCGGTGCCCACATGGGATGCCGGCGGTGGCTTTACCCACCACACCACAGCGTCGACCCTCGCAGAGGATTGCTCTGATCCCCCGGACACACGGGACTGCAGGAAGCCCTGGGCTGCTGGAGGGGGCGTATGTCATGTGAACGTGCCCGGGGGTGTTTTTCAGATCCAAGGTGGACCAGGTGCAGGACATCATCACGGGAAACCCCACGGTCATCAAGATGGTCGTGAGCTTCAACAGAGGGGCCCGGGGGCAGAGCTCCCTGCGGCAGCTGCTGGCGCCCGTGGTGCAGGAGATCATCGAGGACAGGGCCCTGGTCATCAACACCAGCCCCGTGGAGGTGTACAAGGCCTGGGTGAACCAGCTGGAGACGCAGACCGGGGAGGCCAGGTGAGGCGGGGCGGCTGCCGCGTGCGGCTCCGCTCGGGAGGAGCGTGGCTGTGTGCCCAGTTCTCGGTGAGGACGCTGCCGCCCTGTGCACCCCGCGGGTCACCTTCCCAGACCCTCGGCCGCCTGTCGCACAGCAGCCGGCGGTTCCCCAAGGCCACAGCTCCTGCCGTTCTCCCCTCGTTCTGTGTGTCTCTAAGCCAACGCTGGAGATGGTGGACGCGTCCTCTCTGCTCTGTGGTCCAGGCAGGGCTGGCTTCCCTCCACGGTGCGTGTGGGTCACGCAGGACCAGCGTTCCCTTCCTGCAAAGGCGGTCTCGTGCGGTAACGAGAGGCTGAGGGAGAACAGCAGGCGCCGTCCCCGCGCTGAGGCTCCGGAAATGGAAACACCGAGCTCCAGGGTCTGCGCAGCACACACAGGGCCCCGCCCTCTGGGGAGGCGACATGGACAGACTGCTCGTCCTGTGTGCCCAGCTGCAGTTAGGAATATCTACCCACGTTCTCACGTATAACAGGGTGTGTGGGGGTGTGGACACCCTGTGACACCCACACATGCACACACACACACAGGGTGTGTATGGGGCGTGCACACTGTGTGACACCCACGCATGCACAGACACATGCACAAGGTGTGTATGGGGTTTGCGCACTGTGTTACACCCTCACATGCACAGACACACACAGGGTGTGTAGGGGGTGTGTGCACTGTGTGACACCCTCACATGCACAGACATAGAGTGTATGGGGTGTGTGCACTGTGTGACACCCTCACATGCACAGACACATACAGGGTCTGTATGGGGTGTGTGCACTGTGTTACACCCTCACATGCACAGACACACACAGGGTGTATAGGGGGTGTGCACACTGTGTGACACCCTCACATGCACAGACATAGAGTGTATGGGGTGTGCACACTGTGTGACACCCTCACATGCACAGACACAGGGTGTGTAGGGGGTGTGTGCACTGTGTTACACCCTCACATGCACAGACACACACAGGGTGTGTAGGGGGTGTGTGCACTGTGTGACACCCTCACATGCACAGACATAGAGTGTATGGGGTGTGTGCACTGTGTGACACCCTCACATGCACAGACACATACAGGGTCTGTATGGGGTGTGTGCACTGTGTTACACCCTCACATGCACAGACATAGAGTGTATGGGGTGTGCACACTGTGTGACACCCTCACATGCACAGACACACACAGGGTGTGTATGGGGTGTGCACACTGTGTGACACCCTCACATGCACAGACACACACAGGGTGTGTATGGGGTGTGCACACTGTGTGACACCCTCACATGCACATGCACACAGAGTCTGTATGGGGTGTGCACGCTGTGTGACACCCTCACATGCACAGACACACACAGGGTGTGTATGGGGTGTGCACACTGTTACACCCTCACATGCACACACACACAGGGTGTGTAGGGGGTGTGCGCACTGTGTGACACCCTCACATGCACAGACATATACAGGGTGTGTATGGGGCGTGCACACTGTGTGACACCCTCACATGCACAGACACACACACAGGGTGTGTATGGGGCGTGCACACTGTGTGACACCCACACATGCACAGACACACACAGGGTCTGTATGGGGCATGCACACTGTGTTACACCCACACATGCACAGACACACACAGGGTGTGTAGGGGGTGTGCACACTGTGTGACACCCACACATGCACAGACACACACAGGGTGTGTATGGGGCGTGCACACTGTGTGACACCCTCACATGCACAGACACACACAGGGTGTGTATGGGGTGTGCACACTGTGTTACACCCTCACATGCACAGACATAGAGTGTATGGGGTGTGCACACTGTGTGACACCCTCACATGCACAGACACACACACAGGATGTGTCTGGGATGTGCACTGTGTGTTAACTCACAGGGTGTGTATGGGGCGTGCACTGTGGGTGTATGAGGCTCGGCTAGTTGCACACGTGAAGCTCCAGGACGGCTGTGCCCTGAGCTATGAGAACTGACAGTCCTTGTGTCGGTGGTGGTTTCTTGTTTGCAAATACATACTTTTTTCTGTAATGGACAGATTGCTTTTTGTAATCAGAACAAATGACCAGGCCAGCTCTCTGCTGTGGCCCGGGAGTGCAGTGGAGGATGGCCCAAGTGCTTGGGCCCTGCACCCCATGGGAGACCAGGAGAAGCACCTGGCTCCCGGCTTTCGATCGGGGTAGCTCTGGCCGAGGCGGCCATTTAGGGGTGAATCAGTGGAAGGAAGGCCTTTCCCTCTGTGTGTCTGTCTCTCTCTCTCTCTCTCTCTCTCTAATAAATTTTTAAAAAAATGAAAAGAAAGCAAGCTGGCTGGGTCTCCGTTAGCTGGGTGTGCCCCTTCTTCTGCTCGAAGGCCCCAGCAGGGAGGCCTGGAGCCCCTCCCGCTCCCCTCAGAGCAGGAGGCCCTGTCTGTGCTCAGGGTGTCCTTCCACTTGGCGATCTTGTCTCTGGAGTCGGTGGGCCGAATCCAGGCCCTGTGGGAAGCTGGGTGTGGAGCCCACTGGCAGGAGCCCTCATGCACCGCCCCCGGGGCCTGTGTTTCAGCAACCTGCCCTACGACGTCACCACCGAGCAGGCCCTGACACACCCCGAAGTCCAAACCAGGTTGGAGACGTCCATCGAGAACCTGCGCCGGGTCACGGACCGCGTCCTCAGCTCCATCGTCTCCTCCCTTGACCTCCTGCCGTGAGTTGTGTTTGTGGCCACTCTCACCTTTGGGCGGAAAGATCTAGAACACCGTGTGACGTAGGCACTGGGTGAAGGCTGGCGGCTCCCCGCGGGCGCTCTCTAAAGATGGGCTGCATTCGCCTCTGGAGCGCGTGGCCGTCGTCCGCGGAGTCCTGGGGTTCCATCTCCATCTCGCCTTTTGTTTCCTTTGTAGGCGGCTGTTGCGTCCCCTCCTCGCGTAGCCTTTTCCATGATTTTCTTTTGTCATCTGTTTTCCATGTAGTTATGGATTGAGGTATGTAGCCAAAGTGCTGAAGAACTCCATCCATGAGAAATTCCCCGAGGCCTCGGAGGATGAGCTGTTGAAGGTAGACTTCCGGGGGTGGCCCCGCCTTAGCTCACCCGGGGAGGAGCCACCACGTCGGGAGACGGCCCGGGTGACTGGTGGTGCAGTGGCCATCGGGACTGCTGCTCGGCTGGGGGTAGTCTGGAGAGCCCAGGCACCACTGAAGTGCGTTGCCATGAGCGCCTGGGGAGAGAGGCCGCATTTCTCACCAAAAGCTTCTGTTAGCTCTCCTGGTGCTGTGTGGTCACCTCCACGGCCTGCCCAGTGTGTGGTCACTCCACAGCCTGCCTGGCCATGTGTGGTCACCTCCACGGCCTGCCTGGCCATGTGTGGTCACCTCCATGACCTGCCCAGAGTGTGGTTACCACCATGCCCTGCCCAGCGGTTTGTGGTCATCTCCATGGTCGTATGCAGTGGTGTGGGTCACCTCATCGACTTCCCGGTGGTTTGTGGTCATCTCCATGGCCTACGCAGTATGTGGTCACCACCACGTCCTCTCCAGTGTGTGGTCACCTCAACAGCCTGTGCTGAGCTCCTTGTTGGGATCGTATCAGAAGTGGTCTGATTTCTCCTGGAAATGTAGCTAAGATATCAGAAGTGGTCTGATTTCTCCTGGAAATGTAACTAAGACAAGATTATGTAACAAACAAAGCAAAACGCCCACAGTGTACATTTCTGTCTCACAAATGCTCTGGGCAGGTCGTGGGGAACCTGCTCTACTACCGCTACATGAACCCCGCCATCGTGGCCCCCGACGGCTTCGACATCATCGACATGACCGCCGGGGGCCAGATCAGCCCCGACCAGCGCCGGAACCTGGGCTCCGTGGCCAAGGTGCTGCAGCACGCGGCCTCCAACAAGCTGTTTGAGGGGGAGAATGAGCACCTGTCGTCCATGAACAGCTACCTGTCGGAGACGTACCAGCAGTTCAGGTGACAGGCCACTGCGAGGCGGTGGGTGGGCAGACAGGACGGGCGTCTGCCAGAGCTGGGCGCCTTCTGTGGTTGCCACCAGGCATGGGAGGGGAGAGGAGGGAGAACAGGCCCGGCTGCCTCCTGGTCCCACCCACCACATGCAGTCGATGTCTTGTGGGTGACTTATGTCCTGTATGTGAGCAGGAACCCTCTGTCCCCTGTGAGCAGGTGCCCTCTGTCCCCTGTGAGCAGGTCCCCTCTGTACTGTGTGTGTGCAGTACCCTCTGTCCTGTGTGAGCAGGTCCCCTCTGTCCTGTGTGTGAGCAGGTCCCCTCTGTCCTGTGTGAGCAGGTCCCCTCTGTCCTGTGTGTGCGCAGGTCCCCTCTGTCCTGTGTGAGCAGGTCCCCTCTGTCCTGTCCTGTGTGTGAGCAGGTCCCCTCAGTCCTGTGTGTGTGCAGGTCCCCTCAGTCCTGTGTGTGTGCAGGTCCCCTCTGGTCTGTGTGTGAGCAGGTCCCCTCAGTCCTGTGTGTGTGCAGGTCCCCTCTGTCCTGTGTGTGAGCAGGTCCCCTGTGTCCTGTGTGTGATCAGGTCCCCTCTGTCCCCTGTGAGCAGGTCCCCTCAGTCCTGTGTGTGTGCAGGTCCCCTCTGTCCTGTGCTGTGTGTGAGCAGGTCCCCTCTGTCCCCTGTGAGCAGGTGCCCTCTGTCCCCTGTGAGCAGGTCCCCTCTGTACTGTGTGTGTGCAGTACCCTCTGTCCTGTGTGAGAAGGTCCCCTCTGTCCTGTGTGTGAGCAGGTCCCCTCTGTCCTGTGTGAGCAGGTCCCCTCTGTCCTGTCCTGTGTGTGAGCAGGTCCCCTCAGTCCTGTGTGTGTGCAGGTCCCCTCTGTCCTGTGTGTGAGCAGGTCCCCTCTGTCCTGTCCTGTGTGTGAGCAGGTCCCCTCAGTCCTGTGTGTGTGCAGGTCCCCTCTGTCCTGTGTGTGAGCAGGTCCCCTGTGTCCTGTGTGTGATCAGGTCCCCTCTGTCCCCTGTGAGCAGGTCCCCTCAGTCCTGTGTGTGTGCAGGTCCCCTCTGTCCTGTGTGTGACCAGGTCCCCTCAGTCCTGTGTGTGTGCAGGTCCCCTCTGTCCTGTGCTGTGTGTGAGCAGGTCCCCTCTGTCCTGTCCTGTGTGAGCAGGTCCCCTCTGTCCTGTGTGTGAGGAGGTCCTCACTGTTTGTGTGTGGGCAGGTCCTCTTCAGTCCCCAACCTTACCCTAAGCACCGACGCTGTGACCTTGCGTTGCCCTGGGGTAGTGGAGCATCCAGGCAAGGCTGTGGGAAGCTGACCAAAGTTGGTCTCTTTCCGTGTGCACATCAAAGTCACTTCCTATTCCTTGGTGCCCCCTTGGTTAGGGACTGCTCTGTGGACAAAGGTGTGGCTGTGGTGACATCAGCATGGAACTCTGGGAATCACCCGGCTCCCCTGGCCCAGGGTGTGTGGCGCTCAGGATGCTGACGTAGCTCCTGCTCTCGGCTGCCATCCGTTCCCACGTGGCCTACGGGGGCTCAGGGCCCTCAGAGCTCCCTGCCTCCCCAACCCCATCCGTCTGTCAGCTGCCCGAGGCCCCAGCCCACCCCCATCTCTGAATTTGTCCGTGTGTCCCGGCATCCATGCACAGGCACTGCCAGGTTAGGGAGGAAGGACCTGCTCACCTGCTGTGCCCTGGCAGGTGGGAGCGGGTGCTGCGGAGAGATCCCCGGGGTGACTTCAGGCCTGTGAGATGGCCACAGCTTCACAGAATGGACTCGCCTCCCAGTGGTCGCAGCACCTGGCGTTTCACACGTCCATCTGTTTGCGTTCGAGTGAACAGTAGTCCGAGCACCGGGCTGTGGTTGTCGCGGGCCTCAGCACAGCTTCCCTCAGCCACAGCCGCCCCCGTGTCGGCTGAGAAGGGAGCCAGCCTGGCTCCCATGCTTGTCACAGGGGCCCCGGAGCTCTGCAGGCCCAGGGCTGGGCCACTTAGAGCAGCAAGCCCGAGTTTCTCTCCAGTAGCGCCTCAGAGGCTGCCCTCCCAGACCAGGCATTAGCCGTCTGGACGTTCTTATCTGAATTTCAGAGCCCATTTCCTAAGGAACAGCCTCTCTGAGGTGAGCTGCCCAGAACCGGGTGACCTCGAGTCGCAGACGGGACCTGGGGCCCTCACAACTCTGTCCAGTCCCATGGGAGGAGCGGGGCCAGGTGCAGAACCACAGATGCGGCTTCCACAGTCAGGGCCGGGCCAGACGGCGCCGGAGCAACTGCAGAACGCACCGCTGGCCGTCACTCAGATTTCCCTGCCTTGGTTTTGCTTCCTTAATTTTATTTCTTTGAGAGGCGGAGAGAGTGAAATAGAGAGAGGGATCTCCCATGTGCTGGTTCCTTCTCCAGATTCCTGCCATGGCCAGGACTGGGCCAGGCCTCTCCCCCAGCACCAAACGCCTGGCTCCCAGGTGCCCCCACCCCCAGCCAAGACTGCGTAGCCCACAGCTGCGGCTCTGTCTGAAGCCCTTTCCTGGCTTAGGAAGTACTTCAAAGAAGCGTGTGACGTCCCCGAGCCTGAGGAGAAGTTCAATGTGGACAAGTACACAGACTTGGTGATGGTCAGCAAGCCGGTCATCTACATCTCCATCGAGGAGATCATCAGCACACACTCGGTACGGGCGCAGGGTCACCCGTGTGAGGGTCAGATGTGTGTGTGTGAGATGTGTGGGTCACGTGTGTATGTGCAGTCAGATGTGTGGGTCACATGTGTGAGATATGTGGGTCATGTGTGTGTCGCGTGTGTGCAGTCAGATGTGTGAGTCACACGTGTGTATATGCAGTCAGATGTGTGGGTCAGGCCTGTGTGTGCAGTCACACGTGTATGTGCAGTCAGATGTGTGAGTCACACGTGTGTATATACAGTCAGATGTGTGGGTCAGGCCTGTGTGTGCAGTCACACGTGTGTGTGCAGTCAGATGTGTGTGGCCTGCACAGGGCACAGATGCGCTCCAGCTCCCAGTCAAGTCCTTCAAGCTCCCCACTGTTTTATTCCCCACCCCTCCCCCAAACAAGAAGCCTGGCTGGACAAGATCCGGTCACAAAGCCAGGCGGCCCGTGAGGGCGGGGGCTTTGTCCGCCTGCCGGAACCAGGTGCCTCCTGCGCCCACGGGAATCCCCCGGCTTTTCCCGTCCGGTTCTGGGAGGTGAGGCCGTCCGCTCTGTGTTGGGGCCGACAGCAGGAAGAAGGCTTCCTGCCTGAGCTGGAAACCCCACTGTGAGGAGCAGGCCACCTCCCCCCAGCCCTGGATGTGGGGCAGGCTCGGCTGTGGCCGGGGCCCAGGGCTGGGGGAGGCAGGGGCCTGGGTGGGTGTTCCTGCATTCACAGTGAGCAGAGCAGCTGAGCACCGGGACGTCGTTTGCAAGTCCAGTTGGAATTCAGTTTCAGAAAATGGTTTTGAAAGCCGACGGAGGGATTGTTCCGGTACTCGCCGGCCCCGGATTCGGAGCGGCGGCCTGGCGAGCGCCTGGGGGCTCCTAGGCTCCGGCTCTGGGCCCCCGGCTCTGGGGCTCACAGAGCACAGTGGAGAGGCGCCTCTCAGAGGGCCTGCACGTGCTGCATACAGCAGATGTCCCAGACTCCGTCACCGAGCTGCTGCACAAAACTGAGGCCTCAGTGTGGCCCGGGAGGAAAGATCACAGCCGGCTCTTTAAAGATTCATTTATTCATTCCTTCATTCAGTCATTTGGAAAGCAGTTACAGAGAGAGAGAGGGAGAGACAGAGAAGGATCTTCCGTTGCTGGGTCACTTCCTAAATGCCCACAACAGCCAAGGCTGGGCCAGGCCAAAGCCAGGAGCCTGGAACTCCATCTGGGTCTCCCACGTGGGTGCAGGGCCCAAGCACTTGGGCCATCCTCTACTGCTTCCCCAGGTCATTAGCAGGGAGCTGGGTCAGAAGTGGAGCAGCCGGGACTCGACCCAGCGCTCACACGGGATGAGGTGTCCCAGATGGCAGCTTCACCCCCTGTGCCACCACGGCGGCCCCTGGTGTAGCTTTGGCTTCTCTGATATTTGCAACAAGCTCTTAGTGCCTCTTCATCGATGAGAGGACTGACTCCCTTCCACCATACACGTGTATGAAGAAACACGCAGCTCACAGGGAAGACTGCCTGCCAGCGCAGGACTCGCAAGCTTCTGTGGCGCCCGGTCCGTCCCCAAGCCCAGCACCTGCGCGTGCAGAAGGCGTGGTCGGAGTCCGCGTGTGCCGGGAGAGACTGCCGTGAACAGCATGGAGAGTGTCCCCGTAGCGGCTCCCCTGCTGCTCCGTGGCTGCGGCTCCTTTTGTCCACAAGAGTTGAAAACAGAGCCCAGCCGTGGCTGGCTTGGAATTCTTTGGTGCGCTGGGTTGGGAGCAGAGGTGCACTGGGGCCGTGTCCCCAGCCTTCGGGCTGTGCAGCACTGTCACTCGGGGCCACACGCCTGCCACTGTGAGGAATGCGAGAGCCCGAGTCTGGATGGGTTTCTATTCCGTGATCCTCAGAGCAGGTGTAGAAGCCACCGAGGCGCACGTGTGCAGGTGGCCAGCAGGCGTTGCCCCAGCCTCGTGCTCACCTCATTCTCGTCTGAGTTATGTTCTCCCAAAAACACCGCACGCACCGCCCATCCCAACGTCACTCTTTGTCACCTCCGTCACCCGTTTCCCATCGCTGTGTGAACCTTTGTGACAGCAGCACGTATTTCTCAGCTTGGAACCGAGTACTCCCTGCTGTGCCGTCCGCAGGGGCCCTGGGGAAGTCTAGGAAGCGGCAGAGCCACACGTGGGCGCTGTTGGGCCCAGGCTCCGCGAGGGGCTTTCTCCTGTGGACGCTCCAGGCAGCAGGGGTGGGGGGAGGGGTCCGGAGCATCTGCTGTTTTAAAGCCCGGGGTTCAGCACATAATGCTGCCCTTTACAGTCACAAAGGTGGCAGCAGTGCTGTAGCGTAGCGGGTAAAGCCACCGCCTACAGTGCCGGCATCCCATTTGGGCGCCAGTTCAAATCCTGGCTACTCCACTTCTGATCCAGCTCTCTGCTGTGGCCTGGGAAAGCAGCAGAAGATGGCCCAAGTCCTTGGGCCCCTGCACCCACGTGGCAGACCCGGAAGAAGCTCCTGGCTCCTGGCTTCGGATCGGCTCAGCTCAAGCTGTTGCGGCCAATTGGGGAGTGAACCAGCGGATGGAAGACCTCTCTCTCTCTCTGCCTCTCTCTCTATTTAACTCCAGCTCTCAAATAAGTAAACAGATCTTTAAAAAAAAAAAATGACAAAGATGGAAAGAAGACCCAGAAGCTGTTGTCCAGGTGGCACTGTACTGGGGTGCAGGTGGACACTTGGGGCGTCAACAAAGAAGTGGTGTGTGTGGCCCGTTCTCAGCAGAGGCTGAAACAGCTGGATGGGAAAAGAACAGCAACAGACGGTGCTGCGACAAGCAGATCGCCACATGGAGACAGAGTGGGAATGAGAAATGAGAAAATGAGAAATGAACCCAAGTGCATCATGGACCTAAGAGTGAGAGCTAAAGCTGAAAAGAACAACAAAACTCTCGGAGTGAACCACAGACGCAGATCGCTGGGACCTGGGCTCTGGCGGCAGATTCGTAGATGTAAACACCAGAGTCAGCGGAAGAAAGACATACATAACATTTCATCAGCACTGAACACGTGTGTGCTATAAACAGTGCTGTCCGGAAACTGAGGGGCCCCCGAGGTGGACTGTGAGGACATAACTGCCAATAAGCTGGTAAGGAATTTGTAGCCAGAGCGTGGGAAGGACTCCTGCAACTCAGTGATAGAACAGATAGATAACTAATTCCGTGTAAGATCAGCCGTGCACCCTACAGGGCACAGCCACAGGAAAGGCAGCCAGGGCACGGGGCGGGGAGGGGTGAAGGGGTAAGAGCTCCGCTCTGCAGAGAACCCTGCGTCTCAGCAGCAGCCACGCCCGAGCCTCCCTGCAGGCGTGCCAGCAGTGCACGGCACCTGACGGATGTGCCGTCTCGGGACCAGGGCATGTCAGGTCAGAACCACAGCAGGACCAGGCAGCCGCTGTCACAGAACAGCAGCAGCAGACAACAACCAGCGCGGGCAGAGAAACAGGAGAATGGAGCCCCGGGTCCGTCCGAGCGGGCGGTACTGGTGAGGCACCGTGGAGGACAGCACGCCAGCCGCTCAGAAACCACGGAGGCAGTTGTCACGTGACCCAGCAGTTCCGCTTCCGGACGGGTCACCATAGAGCTGCAAGCAGAGTGCAAGTGGTGGGAGTGCCCCCGTTCACACCGCGTTACTCACCGCAGCCCACGTTCAGTGGCAGATGCATGGATGCACTGGTCGGCCCGGACAGGGGTTCAGCCAGCCCTGGGGGGGGGGTAGTCACACTTGCACGCACAGATGACCCCTGAGTAGCATGAGGTGGTCACAGAGCAGGCACACACTGGCAGAGTCCACTCCTGTGAGACACCTGGGACAGCTGGATCCACAGAGCTGGAAAGTCGTGGCTTCCAGAGGCTGGGAGGAATGGGCAGCAGGCGGTGACTGTGAGGGACACGTGTCCTGCAGGGAGGGACAACAGGCGGTGACTGTGAGGGACACATGTCCTGTCAGGGAAGGACAACAGGTGGTGACTGTGAGGGACACGCGTCCTGTCAGGGAAGGACAACAGGTGGTGACTGTGAGGGACACGTGTCCTGTCAGGGAAGGACAACAGGCAGTGACTGTGAGGGACACGTGTCCTGTCAGGGAAGGACAACAGGCGGTGACTGCTGAGGGACACGCGTCCTGCAGGGAGGGACAACAGGCGGTGACTGAGGGACACGTGTCCTGTCAGGGAAGGACAACAGGTGGTGACTGTGAGGGACACGTGTCCTGCAGGGAGGGACAACAAGCTGTGACTGTGAGGGACACGCGTCCTGTCAGGATGGGACAACAGGCGGTGACTGTGAGGGACACGTGTCCTTCAGGGAGGGACAACAGGTGGTGACTGTGAGGGACACGCGTCCTGTCAGGATGGGACAACAGGCGGTGACTGTGAGGGACACGCGTCCTGTCAGGGAAGGACAACAGGCGGTGACTGTGAGGGACACGCGTCCTGTCACTGATGGACAACAGGCGGTGACTGTGAGGGACACGCGTCCTGTCAGGGATGGACAACAGGTGGTGACTGAGGGACACATGTCCTGTCAGGGATGGACAACAGGTGGTGACTGTGAGGGACACGCGTCCTGTCAGGGAAGGACAACAGGCGGTGACTGTGAGGGACACGCGTCCTGTCACTGATGGACAACAGGTGGTGACTGAGGGACACACGTCCTGTCAGGGATGGACAACAGGTGGTTTCTGCTGAGGGACACGCGTCTTGTCAGGGTTGTCACAGTGTTCTGAAGTCAGCAGTGATGGCTGCACAGCTTGAGAATGTCTCAGAAACCATTGCATATATATTAGATTTCTTTATTTGAGGGCAGAGTTACAGTTAGAGAGGGAAAGACAGAGAGGTCTTCCAAAATCGGCTGGTTCATTCCCCAAATGGCCGCAATGGCCAGAACTCGGCCAATCAGGAGCAGGAACTTCCGGGTCTCCCACGCAGAGGCAGGGGCCCAAGGACTTGGGCCGTCTTCCACTGATCTCCCAGGCCGTAAGCGGAGAGCTGGATCAGAACAGGAGCAGCGGGACTTGAACCAGCACTCATATGGGAGCCAGTGCCACAGGTGGAGACTAACCTCGAGGCTACAGTGCACTAGTGGATTTAGTGGTGTGTGAGTTGTGTCTCAGTAAAGCTGTTGGGAAAAAAGATTGAAAATAGAGAACAGACTTCGTCATGATTCTGAGCCTGATGATACAGTTGCTCAAAACATCCACGGCTGTGTCTGCTCTCAGGAGAATCCTCGGCCCTGTGGTTGGAAACATTGTTTGAATGTCATTATGAATAAGAAAAGAACAAATGTGGCTTCAGCTTTTTCGTGCTAGTCCTGGAGACTGAGATGTGCCCGCCCTCCTCTTCCCTCAGCCCTGACTCAGCCCCGGGGGTTTGGGTCCAGGCCATGGGAAGCCACCCACCCAGTCTGGGTCCCGGGCAAGAAACTCTAGGGCTCGCTGCCGTCCCCAGCCGGGACTGTCCAGCGCCAGGCCGTAGGTGGGAAGAGCTGCTGCAGAGACAGGAACACGCAGGGGAGAAGTGTGTGAGACCCCTGCTCTGCTCTGGAGACAACAGGCCTGCTCACTGCGGCACGTCTGCCTCTGCCTGGCCTCTCTCGCCCCGCGGGCCTTCTCTGCGCACGGGTGAGCGCAGACGGTAGGTGGGAGACAGGTGCAGTCTCACCGGATACGGGCTTCTGCACACCTCAGGCTGTGGCTCCTTGAGGAGAGGAAGCACTTCACTCTGGGGAAAACGTCACTTTGTTCCCTACTTTTATTAAATCTCAGGCTTGTATTTAAGACTCGGATGGTACCAGGAGGAAGCTGTGAACAGTGAAGTGTCACCCTGTGCTGTCTGCTGAGTCGGTCACAGTGACCGAGCTGACTGTGCCCACTGTGTCAGCTGACGGGTGTGACTACAGCAGAGCTGGCTGTGCCCACTGTGTGAGCTGTGTGAGCTGACGGGTGTCACTGCAGCAGAGCTGGCTGTGCCCACTGTGTGAGCTGTGTGAGCTGACGGGTGTGACTACAGCAGAGCTGGCTGTGCCCACTGTGTGAGCTGACAGGTGTGACTAACACGCAGAGCTGACTGTGCCCCACTGTGTGGGCTGTGTGAGCTGAC